GTACTACACCTGCCCACTCAAGAGGCAGGAGTTAATCCCAGAGGTCTGTGTCCTAATGCATTATGGCAAATGGATGTTACACATGTACCCTCATTTGGAAAATTATCATATGTTCATGTAACAGTTGATACTTATTCACATTTCATATGGGCAACCTGCCAGACAGGATAAAGTAGTTCCCATGTTAAAAAACATTTATTTTCTTGTTTTGCTGTAATGGGAGTTCCAGAAAAAATTAAAAGTGACAATGGACCAGGATATTGTAGTAAAGCTTTCCAAAAATTCTTAAATCAGTGGAAAATTACACATACAATAGGAATTCCTTATAATTCCCAAGGAAAGGCCATAGTTGAAAGAACTAATTGAACACTCAAAACTCAGTTAGTTAAACAAAAAGAAGGGGCAGACAGTAAGGAGTGTACCACTCCTCAGATGCAGCTTAATCTAGCACTCTATACTTTAAATTTTTTAAACATTTATAGAAATCAGACTACTACTTCTGCAGAACAACATCTTACTGGTAAAAAGAACAGTCCATATGAAGGAAAACTGATTTGGTGGAAAGACAACAACAACAACAAAAAGACCTGGGAAATAGGGAAGGTGATAACTTGGGGAAGAGGTTTTGCTTGTGTTTCACCAGAAGAAAATCAGCTTCCTGTTTGGATACCCACTAGACATTTGAAGTTCTACAACGAACTCAATGGAGATGCAAAGAAAAGCGCCTCCACAGAGACGGAAACACTGCAATCAAGCACCAATGACTTGCAAGATGAACCAAGTGGTGATATCAGAAGAAAAAAATGGAGTCTCTTATGTCCGCTTCTTTCTATATAGACACAGTAACAGGCTGATCTCTCTTTTCCCCTCAATTTGCAAAGCACAAAGGGACCTCTAGAAGTCACCTACCACATCCCCCTCTTTCTGTGTCACAGCTTTCACTAACGTACATGTCCTGGATCCTTCTGGAATCTTCCTTACTCTCACAGATCTAAGCATCACATGCCCCACCCTGGAGGAGAACACACATCTAACAGGAGGACAGAAAAAACATGGGAAGGAGTGAGTCCCCCAGAGTTCACCCTCCCACCCTGTCATCCTTCCTTATTTCCCTTCTGCCCTTACCAGCATTAGCAGCCCCGGGAGTTGAGCAGGGAGCCTTATTGTGAGAAGATGAACTGAGGAGTCCTGATTAGTCAAGGCAAGGTTAGAGCTGAGCTTTTAACTCAAACTCACAAGGGAAAGTCCTCCCTAGAAGCAGTATACAAATCCTCTGGTGGGTGCAGTGGGGTGGAAAGAGCCAAGGAGAAGTTGGGGGCCTCTCTTGTGAGCAAAATGACATAAATGTATTTTATGTTTTAAGGAAATCAATACAGGTAAAATCTGTGTTTCCTGAGTGACAGAAGGGTCATATGCAGATGTTTCCTGCTGTTTCCTCTACTAGACTTCTACTTCTTTAGAACTTTCTCAGGTATGTTTTCCATTTCTCTTTAATAAGGTTGATCTTTAATAAATATTTGGTGATTTTTATTTCTTTGTTCAGGTTTATTTAAAAGAGTCTAGGTTTGTTTTATTTCGTTTTATTTTATCTAAGGTAAAACACACAGTGCAAACAGTGCAAATCTTAAGGGTGCAAATGAGTTTCAAGGTCCAGATCACTTCATGTCATGATCCACATCGAAATAGCGAAGGTTTATAATTCTCTCACTGCTTTCATTATGCACCTTCCCAGTCAAAAACTGCTGCTCAAAACACAATCAATATCACTGATATTCTGATGTCTATTATAACTGTTTATTTTTCCCTGGACTTAATCTTTTTATCAGGTAAAGTAAACATAATTTGTAGCTTTTTTCTTATTTCTTTCACTTTTTGAGGCCTTGATTCCTTGCTGTCAATTTGAATTGCTATCTACTATTATTCATTCCCTGTGATTCTGAAGAATTTTCTCTTGAATCTCTTGCAAGGCATATATACTATTAATGAATTAGTCTTTGTATATAAAGGAATATTTCTACCTTGCCTTTATATGTAAAGGATTGTTTTGCTGGATATAGAATTTGTGACTGACTTTTCTCCCCCAGCATTTAGATATATCATTTCACTGTCTTCTCACCTCCACGGATAATGATGAAAATTTAGCCAATGGCTTTATTATTGCTTCCTAGTATAGAGTAATTCAGTATTTTAGTGATGCATTCCAAATTCTCTTTATCTTTCAACATTGGTACTATAATGTATATAGTTATGAATTGCATTGTGCTTATCCTGAAAAGGTTTCACTGAGTTTCTTTCATGTATAGATTAATGTGTTTCATCATTTCTACAGATGAGTTTTATTATTTCTCCATTTTTTTCTTTTTCAGTTTTTATTTTAGAATCAGAGCATGCATATACAGATATGTTACAAAGTTATTTTGCATGATGCTGAGGATTGGTGTATGACTGAACTTATTAACCAGGTAGTGAACATTGTACCCATAGGTAGTTTTTCAACCCTTCCCTTCCTCCCTCTCTCTCCCCTCTAGTAGTCCCCAATGACTATTGTGCCCATCAACCATGGACTAGAGAAAGAAACTGTTGTATATATACACTATTGGGGAAACCTGCCCCCAGTATTTCAACGTAGGTTCTTCCTATTTTCCATCAGTGTCAGCCGGCTGAGAAATAAAGAGAGAAAGTATAAAAAGAAGAATTTTACAGCTGGGCCACCAGGGGTGACATCACATTATTGGTAGGACTGTGATGTCCATCTGAGTCTCAAAACCAGCAAGTTTTATTAAAGGTTTCAAAAGCGAAGGAGTTATAAAAAGAGAGAGTAGGTACAAAAATCACATGCTTCAAAAGGCAAAAAGCAGAACTACTAATCAGGGTCTAACAAAGGGCACATGCTTTGGAGGGAACAGGACAAAGGGCAAAAGCAGAACTACTGATAAGGGTCTATATTCAGTGGTGAACTTATTGTCTTGATAAACATCTTAAACAACAGAAAACAGGGTTCAAGAACAGATAACTAGTCTGACCACAAATTTACCAGGGTGGAGTTTTTCCCCACCCTAGTAAGCCTGAGGGTACAGCAGGAGACCAGGGCGTATCTTAGTCCTTATCTCAACCGCATAAGACAGACATTCCCAGAGCAACCATTTATAGACCTCCCCCAAGGAATACATTCCTTTCCCAAGCTATTAATATTAATATTCCTTGCTAGAAAAATAACTTAGTGATACCTTCCCTACTTACACGTTTGTTTATAGGCTCTCTGCAAGAAGAAAAATATAGCTCTTTTTGCCCGACCCAGCAGGCAGTCAGAACTTACGATTGTCTTCCCTTGTTTCCTCAAAATCGCTATTATTCTATTCTTTTTCAGGGTGCACTGATTTCATATTGTTCAAATGCACATGTTTTACAATAAGTTTGTACAGTTAACACAATTATCACAGTGGTCCTGAGGTGATGTACATCTTCAGCTTATGAAGATAACAGGATTAACAGATTAAAATAAAGACAGGCATAAGAAATTATAAAAGCATTATTTGGGAACTGATAAATAACCATATTAAAATGAAATATTCACAATTTATCTTCCTCTGCCACAGCTCCAGCCAATCCTTCCATTTGGGGTCCCTGACATCCCACAACAATACACCATGGAATCATATGCAGCCATAAATAGGAACAAAATCATAGGAACAAAGTTATGTCCTTGCAGAAACTTGGATGCAGCTGGAAGTCATTTTCCTAAGTGAACTGATGCAGAAACAGAAAACTAAATACCACATCTTCTCACTTGTAAGTGGGAACTAAACATGTGGTACACATGGACAAAAAGATGGGAACACATTGTTTCGCCTCTTTCTTTTTTTCCTTTTGATTCCTAACACAAATTTGTTGGCATTGTTCACACGGACCTATAATGTCTGAGGTTTTATTCATTCTTCTTTATAATTTTTCTCTTCTTTATATGAGATCATTGCTATTGACTTGTTTTTCATTTTACTGGTTCTTGCATCATATTATATTGCTGTTGCATTTATATAACACATTTTTCAATTTAGTTGTTGAACTTTTCATTTCTAGAATTTCCAGTAGGTCTCTTTTCATAGTTTCTCTGTTTGAAAGCCTCTATTTGTTGAATCGTTGTCTTTACAAATTCCTTTTTAATTCTTTTTTAAAGGTTAGAATAATTCTTTGAACATATATTTGATAAGGGTGGAGCACATAGACACTATGGAGATGGACCATAAGGCAGGGAGCTCAGAATTTGATTAGCTGAATTTGAAGTCTCTGAATAATGACGCTCTTGTGGGATTTAATTTTTTTCTGTTTTATGTTTCTCAGATTACAAATACCTTTTATTTTTAAGAGAGTAACTATGTATAGAAATTCAGCTTATAAATCCCTGGAAAATTCTAACAGAACAATTGTTGAAAAAAATAGTTTCTCTTAGACTCCCAAACCAGCCTCTGCCTGGGACCTGCCTTTGTCTCTGAGCCTGTGAAATCTCTGATGAGGTTTTCAGGTGGGCAGCGAAATCATGGCAGGGCAGGCTCTGGGTGCTGTGGAGGACAGGAGGACACTCCTTCAGGGTTAGTGATGCTGGGAGTTTGAGGGGAGAGACTCAGCATGGAGCTGTCTGTGAGTTGCCCCAGCAATGCTGTCTGCACAGTGATCATCTCACAAGTGTACTCGGATGCCAGTGGATGGCCCAAACGTGGGCTCAGGTTGGACAAAGACAAAGGTTTAGGCATGAATATATGGGCCTCATTTGATACTCTGAAGTTTCAGCACAACCATAATGAATTATATGGGTAAAGTAAGGAGTCACAAGGTTGTGATTCTTCATTTGATATTAAAATATATTCCCCCTGCTCTTTTTTCCCTCCAGAATGTAACTACTGATATACATTTAACCAAAGTCACTGTTTTTCATTGTTGTTTTAGTAACTGACAGCCTGTGTGCAGAGTTCCTAAGTAACTGGGTAGCCAGACCATCATTCCTATGGGTGAAGCCAGGAAGTGACTGTGGATGTGAACAAATGTGAGTTTCATGTACATGTCGCCAAAAGCCATGGGCCACTGATCTGGGGAGAACTCACAGTCATTTCACTTTCCCATACCCAGATGAGAGGTCACCTCGATTTGTGTTCTTCTGATGAACTCTACACACTGGATCACATTCTGAAGCTCTAGTTCACACTTCTTTTCTGTGCTAGAGGGACTCTCTCACTCACATGTATTGTACCCTCTGCATAGGAAAATTTGTAATACACAAAAACTGTTTTCTGCTAATTAACCATCAATTGTGTCATTTTCAGTCTTCCATGGGTGTTACCTGCCCTATGGCTATGGGGTCTTCCAAAAGAATGGGCCAGAGGTGGAGCTGTGAAACTAGCTGGATAAAAAGTATAAGTGTCAAGATACGGTAAAGAAGTGGTGTTAATCATAATAATATTGCAAATTAGTCTGGGCTCTTGGCTGTGATTACTGGTAAGTGTGAAAGAATCTAGGTTTTGGTTTTTATTCTTTTTATTTCCATTGATAAAGTAGCCAGAGTAAAGTACACACTTCTTGAGTGTGCAACTGAATAAAGTTTATGTGTAAGTCATTGTCCGGGTGGAATGATAGAGTATTTCACATGCCCTTGTGCTTCCCTCATGGACAGTCTTTGTAAGGTTTCCCTCCCATTCAGCAAAAGTAACTGTCTTTCTGATATCTAACACAATCATTTAGGTTTCCCTGTTTTGAACTTCACATAAATAGCATGAAGTGTATTTTTATCTTTCCAGCCTTGGTATTGTTCCTTCTTACTTTTGAGGACTTCATTTCTTCCAGTGGACTCAGTGTCCTGTCTGATGTCATTTCCTGGGATTCTGAAGTATTTTCTCTTAACTATCTTATAAGACATAGCAACTAGGAATGAACATATTTGTTTACCAAAGAATATGTTTGCTTTTTTGTTCGAATTGAAGGATATTTTCACTGGATATAGATTTCCTGATTGCCTTCTTTTTTTTTTTTTTTTTCTTTCAGCATTTAAATATGTCACTTCAGAGCTTCTAGCCTCTACTGGTCCCAATGAAAATGAAGCCAATAGCTATATTGTTGTGTCTCTGTATACAGTGTCTGCTTTCATTCTTCATGCAATGAAGATTTTCTCTTTGTCTTTCAATATTTTAATATAATGTGTTCAGTTATTAATTTCTATTGAGTATGTTAAAGGGTTTTATTGAAGTTTTTCTTCTAAGAATATTTTTTCTTACTTTTGAAAAGTTTTTGTCATTATTTCTCCAAATATTTTGTTCAGCTACTTTCTCTTTCTCTCCTCCTTTGTGACTGTCATCATATATTTGTTGGTATCCTTCACTCTGAGCTATAAATCTCTTAAGTTTTCTTCCTTTATTTCTAAACATTTTCTTCAGTCTCAACAGTTTTCCGGTCATCTATTTTCAAGTTAACTGATTGTTCTGCCATCTCAAATTGCTATTAGACCTAGCTAATACATATTTAAATTGGGTTATTGTACTTTTCATTTCTAGAGTTCCCATTTGGTCTTTTTTTTATACTTTCCGTTTCTTTTCTTGAGTCCCTACTTGCTGAATCTTTTTTTTTTTTTAAATATTTTCTTTTCTATATCAAGGATCACAGTTTTAAAAATAATTAATTTAACATCTGCATATTAACTGCTTTGTAGCCTTTGCTAAATCAACAATTAGGGCAAGTTAGAATCAGCTTTCATTGGCTATTTTCTGCTGTTATTGTTGTAGTTGCTTTATTTTTATTCCTTCAATATCGGTCATACTTCCCTTTTTCTTCCAGGATTTTTTAAACTGAAAACTGTACATTTTTGATAATATATTATAGTACCTCTCTTTATATTGTGGGCTTTTTAATTTTAATTTTAATTTTCTTAGAAACAGAGTCTCACTCTGTCAGCCAGACTGGACTGTGGTGCTGTGATCATAGCTTGCTGCAGTCTCGACCTCTCGGGCTCAAGCGATCCTCCAGGTTCTTCCTCCTGAGTAGCTGGGAATATAGGTGCATGTCACCAATCTCTGGTTTAAAAATATATATATAGAGAGAGAGATAAGGGTGTCACTATTTTTTCCAGCATGGTCTCAAACTCCTGGCCTCAAGTCATCCTTCTGCATCAGCCTCTCAAAGTACTGGGATTACAGGCTTGAGCTATCATGTAAGGCCTGGAATTTGTTTCATTTTTCTGAGCATTTTTAAATTTTCTTCTTAGTTGCTTGTCTGAACTTACTGATAGTACCTGACTTATGATAGTTGGAGTTAAAATTTTTTGACTCAGATGGTGTGTAAGTGATATGCATTCAAGTAGAAATAGTACTAGTGTTCATACAGCTATTCTATCTTCTCTTTCAGTACAGTATTCAATCAATTACATAAGATACTCAACACTTTATTGTAAGATAAACTTTGTGTTACATAATGTTGCCCAACTGTAGGCTAATATATATGTTCTGAGCAGATTTAGGATAAGATAAGGTGAGCTATAATGTTAAATGGATTAGATGTATTTAAAGCATTCTCATTGCATGGTATTGAAAAATCTGCATCTCACGTGGTATTTGACCACTGATATCTCGGCTTCTTTTTATTCTTAATATTAATCTTTAGTTTGAATTTATAGGAACTGCACATGTATCTGCATAGCGTAGTGGTCACCAACGATTTGAGACATTTTGCTCAAATATCTGGAGCTTTTAAATCTGTCTTCTGTCAATCTATCTGTGTGTAGTTTAAAAAGCAAACTGCATGCAAACTGCAGCTAATTCTTACCTCCCTCTGGTTTTACTTTGCACCAGGAACTCCTGGGTCTCATCACTTATATCTATAGCTTCTAGATCACTAGGAATGTGTGCAGAGATTGTTTCAGCAGTATGGCTCTATCTTATCCAGGAATCTGCTATTTGCCATCAGCAGATGTATTACTTGCCCCAAAAAGGGCATCCTCTTGGACTAGTAAAGCTGTGGGCTTTTTCTGTATATTACCTATGGAGTTCTCCATGTTTAGCTGGAAACACTGAATAATTTTTTTGCACTCCTTGGCTTTACTCAAGTCCATCCCCTTTGGCAACAAGCTGCCAGTTTTATTTGCTATCCTCACACTGGTAAAAATCCAGTTCTGTAATTCATGCTTACTGAGCTGGAGGTAGAAGGGTGCTGTCACAGGAAAAAGGTTATAGACTTTTTCTGTCCTTACCCAAAGCACTAGTACTTTTATTTCTATAAAGAATATACATGCTTAATCATTTTATGCTTTGCCAATTTTCAAAGTGTTGAAATAGTTTTGATATTTTAGCTTTATATTTATATGTGTGTTTGTTGTTTATTTTTGAACAGAAGATTTATTCAACGCTTTGTGATACCATAAACAGGGATGCTTTCTAAAATGCATTTAAATGAACATAGTAGCCATGCTGAAATGGTATGATGTAATGAATTAACATAAGTAATTTTGGACTTGAGAACTTGAACTCCAAAATGGCCAAATAGAGCAGAGATGCTAAAACTGAGTGGCCACCACACTAGCTGTCTGTAAAGGAAGCAGCTGGTAAATCTAGTAACCACTGACGGTCTTGTTGAGGTTTTTGTTTCATGTTGAATCACTGTGGGAGGCCAGCTATAATCCTGCTGACAGAAATAAACTGCAACATCTTCAGGCTCCAGGCTGCTGATGGTGAGAGTGAACTCTGTTCCAGACCCACTGCCACTGAATCTGTCTGGGATGCCAGTGGCCCTGCTGGATGCACCATAGATGAGGAGCCTGGGAGCCTGCCCAGGTTTCTGCTGGTACCAGGCTAACCTGCTGCTAACACTCTGACTGGCCCTGCAGGAGAGGGTGGCTCTTTCCCCTGGTGACAAAGCCCAGGTGGCTGGAGACTGCGTCATTACAATTTCTCCGGTGGTATCTGAGATGGGAAATAAAACAGAAATGCACTATTGTAATCTGGATCAAAATCACTGTCTTTGAGTAGCGCCAAAATTGTTGACCTACATTGAAGTTTAGTTATATTTCTTGCTGAGCAGAGGTGGCAGGAGTTTTCACTGATGTGCAAAACCACCTCATGTTCCCCTCACCTGGGAGCCAGAGAAGCAGGAGGAAGAGAAGCTGACCTGGGGCTTCCATGGTTCCCTCTGGGTCCTAACTGAGCAGTTCCTCCCCAGAGCTCTGACCCAGGCATTGATATGGGCTCTGGAAGGTAGGGCAGCTGGGAGGGACATGCAAAGCAGCTGGGTGGGAGCTGGGCTTCCAGCTGCAGGGACCACCTGCTTCTTCCTCTCTGCACTGAGCATCCTGCGCCTCCCTGGTTGTCAGAGATCAGAAAAGTTTGTTGGCTCAGTCTGAGTGTAGAACTTCTCCCTGGTGATCACAGAATTTCACTCCTGTGTCTTTCTTCCCTTCAATCACCTAAATTCACCCAGATGATGTTTGGTACAAGCCTGTTAAGAACAATATAAAAGGTTGTGCTTTTATTTCTCTCTTTCTATCCTCAACACGCCCAGTCATCTCCCTAAGTGCATTATTGGATCGATGGAAATGAAGAGTCTGTTAGAACATAATATTCCAGATGCACCTTTCTTTTGCTTGTTAGTAACGTTTTCTGAGGGTCCTGAAGCTTTCCATTAAGTCAGACACACACCCTCTTTGAGTTAAAAGTAAAAAACTTCTGTTTCCAGTCCCATGTCCTGGCAGGCCCTGACATAGATGCTCCATGGCTTGCCGATTGCTTGAAATTGATCAAGTAACTTCACTTCCTTGTGTCTCAGTTTCCATATCTGTGTGACTGTGACAATAGTGGTACCTGCCTTACAGTGCTGTGGACAGTTTAAAGAAAATAAGATAAAACATTTACAATAGTACATTATGTATGCAGGAATTAATTTTGTTTTTATTGTTTAAGTATTCAGCACTATAGTTATCATCATTACAAATATACTTAGCATGGAAAATAGTCTTAAATCTAACCCAAGAATGTTTTATCCACAAATTAAATTCTAAGGTGTTTTCTTCAGTAACTGTACACAACTCTTAATATCCTAATGATTTGATCTTAATCTGTG